GTTGTCTGTTCAGATTGTATTTGTAACAGAATTTGTCCTGTAGTGTGAGTTTCCCTGTCGGTTAATCTGAAATAAAAACTGAAGCATCTTGTGTTGGGTTTCATTTTTGTAATGATTACTGACTTGGCAAATCTAAATCATCTTTGGCGAAGGATCCTCTTCACAGGAAGTGACGTCATACACATTCGCATGGACATCATCCCTTCTAAAATTGAGCAGACTGATTCTGGACATGAAACAAATAAACAGTTCACCAAGGTGAGTGTCGATAGTGTAGCACACGTCGTATAGGTGAGGTGAGGTGAGGTGGGGTGAGGTGAAATTGGGTTTAACGTCGCGCTGGAGAATATTTCGCTCATATGACGACGTGCATGCGTGTGTATGTGTAGGTGCGGCTGCTTGTACTAGCCCAGACTTAAGCTGGTTTCATAGTGCTAGCCCACTGAGATACCAAGCCGCAGTGAAGCATGAATACCCCACTCAGACACATTATACTGACTCCGAGCCGACCAGTCCTTGTTGTACCCATTAATGCCGAGCGCCAGACAGGGACCAACAAGTACCATATTTTAACGTCTTTTGGTATGACGCGGTCGGGGATCGAACCCGCGACCTTCCGCTCTCCGGGCAGACGCTCTAACCACGGAGGCGGTCCACACGTCGTATAGGATTCGTTAGGTGGTCAGTAAAACTTGCAGGAACTAAAACATGCATTGTTCATGGGACATTAGGTACCAGGAACCATTGTTGATTGGGCTTTGTTTACGAGGAATCATTTTTACAGGGCATTATTTATTAGGAACCATTGTTTAGGATATGGTCTACTAGGAATAATTCTTTACATGGTATTGTTTACTAGGAACCATTTTTACAGAGCATTAGGTACTAGGAACCATTGTTTTCATGGTATTGTTTACTAGGAACCATTGTTTATTGAATATTAGGTACTAGGAACCATTGCTTACATGGTATTGTTTACTAGGAACCTTTCTTTACATCACATTGGGTATTAGGAACTATTGTGGATAGGGCTTTGTTAGCGAGGAATCATTTTTACAGGGTACTGTTTATTAGTAATGATTGTTTATGGTGAGCGAGTGAGTTGAGTTGAGTTTTACGCCGATTTTAGCAATATTCCAGCAATATCAAGGCGGGGGACACCAACAATTGGCTTCACACATTGTACCCATGTTGGGAATCGAACCCGGGTCTTCGGCGTGACCAGCGACCGCTTTAACAACAAGACTACTGTACCCCACCGCCCCTCCATTGTTTATAGGGCATTGTTACTAGGAACCATCATTTTACATGGTTTTATCTATTAGCAACAATTGTTTACAGGGCATTAGGTACTAGGAGTAGGAACCATTGTTCACATGGTATTATTTACTAGGTACCAGGAGTGAGTGAGTGAATGTAGTTTTACACCGCAGACAGCAATATTCCAGCTTTATGGCGGCGGTCTGTAAATAATCGAGTCTGGACAAGACAATCCAGTGATCAACAGCATGAGCATCGATCTGCGCAATTGGGAACCGATGGCATGTGTCAACCAAGCCAGCGAGCCTGACCTGGACCTAACCCGGACCTTCACGGGTTGTTTACTAGGAACCATTGTTTACAGGACATTGTTTACTAGGAATCATTGTTTACCAGGCGCGTAGCAAACCATTATTTTCGTGTAAGCCCGGTAGGTTGCAAAGCTATATATTTAGATAATATTAAGTGATTACCCAACTTTGATAATAAAAATCATGTGTAAGCCCGGGCGTTTTTCTCTAATGGTAGCTACGCCCTTGATTTACAGGGTATTAGGTACTACTGGCAAACAAGGACAAGTTGAGCACCGACCTGACAATTGACCCGTATTAGCATGTGTGAGTGCCACCCACTGGCGCTTGCCATTGTTAGCGAAGGGGCTCCAGGTTGTCCGCGATCAAGTGTAGTGCAACTAGCTACACCGACGTGAGAGTCTTATGAGCAAGGCGTGTGCAGCTACGAGCGGAATCAATTTCATCGTCATGCAATGCACGTGCACTAGCCTACATCTGCTCTGCCTTTCACAAACCAAATGGGTTTGCTCATGGGTATTCATGCTCATGGGTGCCATGCACCGCCTACTTCTCGTAAACGCGTTCTCTGCGCCGGTCCAACTTATCCTTGTTTGCCATTAGGAACCATTGTTTACATGGTATTGTTTACTAGGAACCATTGCTCTCTAGGAATCATTGTTTGCAGGGCATTGTTTACTAGGAACCATTGTTTAAATGACATTAGGTTCTAGGTATCGTTGTTTACTAGGTACCATTGCTCTCTAGGAATCATTGTTTACAGGGCATTGTTTACTAGGAACCATTGTTTAAATGACATTAGGTTCTAGGTATCGTTGTTTACTAGGAACCATTGCTCTCTAGGAATCATTGTTTGCAGGGCATTGTTTACTAGGAACCATTGTTTGCAGGGCATTGGGTACTCGGAACCATTGTTTACTAGGAACCATTGTTTACATGGTATTGTGTACTAGGAATGATTGTTTACATGGTATTGTGTACTAGGAACCATTGTTTACATGGTATTGTGTACTAGGAACCATTGTTTACATGGTATTGTGTACTAGGAACAATTGTTTACATGGTATTGTTTACTAGGAACCATTGTTTACTTGGTTTTGTTTACTAGGAACCATTGTTTACATGGTATTGTGTACTAGGAACCATTGTTTACATGGTATTGTGTACTAGGAACAATTGTTTACATGGTATTGTGTACTAGGAACCATTGTTTACATGGTATTGCGTACTAGGAACCATTGTTTAAATGGCAGTAGGTTCTAGGAATCATTGTTTACATGGTATTGTGTACTAGGAATCATTGTTTATAGGCCATTAGTGACTTGGGAAGATTCGGTTATAGCACAAGTAGTTGTACACTGGTGCTGATGAACATATCCATAATTCAGTGGGCCTATCCAACCACTTTCCCTTTTTACCCATGAACCCCAACAATACCCTTTAAACTCGCGTAGAAACTGGAGACGAGGCTTCATGCATTGCATTCATTAAGGGTATCAAACCCGGGTCATGTCGAGGGTGAACTCCTTGCAGTGTTGTTTAATGTCACGAACAGATCATATGTTTGAAATAAAATAGTCGTATTCGGATTTCATTTTTAACTTGAGTAAATCATGAATGGGTAGTCTTTGAATAGAGGTAGTTGCACTCAATAGTATTATTCGCTGCTGCACTAATACAATAGTCAAACATTGATGGGCAAGGGAAGGTATAGTGACTTCTAGCAAAGTAGACCCGTATAGTGAAAAAAAAACACTTCTTATATGTTGGTACTCACTTTTATCTGATTAGAATTCCTTGGATTTCACAGTGCAAATGAAGTGCAGAACATAACTGTATACGTATATCAGATACATCAACAATCAATAATAATTTATTGTTGTTTCATTTTAGTGAGTGACTTTAGTTTTACGCCGCACTCAGCAATATTCCAGCTATATTGCAGTCTGTAAACAATCGAGTCTGAACCAGACAATCCAGTGATCAACAGCATGAACATCGGTCTATAGGGATGCGATGGCATGTGTCTACCAAGTCAGCAAGCCTGACCACCCGATCCCGTTAGTCGCCTCGACAAGCATGGGTTGCTGAAGATCAGTTCTAACCCGGATCTTCACGGGTTGTTTCATTTCAACCACTCAAACAGGTGTACACTGTCACCTGGCAAGTTACGTTCCAGTGGTTAGATTCATCGAAGCGGTCGTAAAATACATACTTGTCATGTTGATTTGTCAGTTGCAAATGAATAAATGAGTGAATGAACGCTGCCTTGTGACGCGGCACAAGTACCTGAGCGTGACACAGACAAAGTGTATTGAACGAAGACTTTGAAAGTAGAACTAGAATTAAACGTCGATGTGTCTGTGAGTTTAGTTTCACGCCGCTTTTGGCAATATTCAAGCATTATCACAGCGGGGAGACACCAGAAATGGGCTTCACACATATTGTACTCATGTGGGGAATCGAACCCGGGTTTTCGGCGTGACGAGCGAACGCTTAAACTACATGGCTACCCCACCACCCTTAAACGTCGATGTACGATATCACAATCGGATATATACAGATGTACATCTTTTAAACGCGAGATTCCTGCTTGGGTCAGTTCTTGAGTGAGTGAGTGTGGTTTTACGCCGCTTTTAGCAATATTCCAGTAATATCACGGCGGGGGACACCAGAAATAGGCTCCACACATATATATAGTGGTATATATATGTTAGAATTTTAGATTTTTTCATTTCAGTTTCATTTCAGTTCGTTTATATAAAAGAACGTCAAAATGTGGGAATTACTGAATTATTAATATTTAAGGTTAAACTATGTATCTGTATAGTAATTATTCAGTTTTTGATCAACTGAGTGAGTGAGTGAGTGAGTTTAGTTTTACGCCGCTTTCCAGCAATATCACGGCGTGGAACACCAGAAATGGGCTTCACACTTAGTTTTTGATCAAGCTTCATAGAAAGATTATTCATTATGATAACAGATAATAAATATCCCTACTTAACTCGTTTTAACCTAAATACCAATGGCTGAATATGTGCCATGCAAATTCAATAGAGTTCCAGTATCAGTACCACCTGTCGATAAACAGTTGATTAGCGTGTTGCGTCTTGTTTCGCGGTCTGGTGTTGTGGTCTGTAATCGACGGCTTACCATGTAGACGAGAATAATATTTAATTTCAAACCATACGATTGTTTAAAGGTGTGTTTCCATTAATCTTTTCATTTATTTTTGTAGGGAAATACGATTTATAAACCGGTATCTTCTTGTTGAAATCTGCCATGGTCTGATCCTTCGAACGCGCCCCAAGGCCAAGATAGAGATCCGATCAAGTGGACCAATCGCAATGTTCCTTAACTGGGGTCGGTCTGACAAATTGACCAACCAGAATAGTCGTAACATATTATCAAGAAAATCTATCATGGCGACGTTGATGTTTACAAATGGAGTCGGTACAGGGTGATGTTTGAAATTGAGCATGTAGTTTACAGTCTTAGAAATACCCTCCACAAATTTATGTGCGGACAACGAATTAGACTTAGATCACAATGTCAGAAAGATACAGCTCGGAAACGTCTGTGGTGACCAGAAGATATGGAAGAAGTGGCGGAGCTAATCGTGGCCAAATGCAGAGTTTGCTCGGCGAGTTCAGGGGTCTGTATGAGGGAAAATTGAGGAGACTCGAGGAAGCCGAAAAAACAGGAGAGGAAACATCAAAGGTCAGTATAATGCATATGAATAGGTACATTTATACGTATTATTTGCCACTGAGACAGCCTATAGTTGTACACGGTGCATCTTTCATTCATCGCTTGTCAACAAACATGACAGATTACCATGATTCAATCTTGATTGTTTTACCTGTGTCCATTTCGTTGTAAACGTTAACATTTGTTGACTTGTTAATGTTACTGAAAGTTAAATTATGTACTTCTGTTACCAGCATTTGAGTTAAGGTCAGCAAATTAGTATTTATAGAAACCTACATGGTAGACTGTATAATATATCACCTGTGTTTGTACTTGTCTCCACTTGAACCATGTGTACAGCTGTGTGCCTCTAGAAACATGATAATCATGGTCATTATCTGATGGACGTTTACAATGTAAGGGCATTTTCTAAATAGATGTTATATGCACATTAATATAGATATATCATGGGTGGTGTGTATGATTTCAATAATATTATTTTATGAATTAGCAGAGATCTGTTATGTTTTTTCAGTTACCAAGTATCATACATATGGTTATTCAGATTAAAGAAGAATTTCATAACCATTGGAGATTAGTGCCATATGAAACTGTTCCCACCATCTTTATCTATGAAATGCCCGATTGGAATATTATTAATTTTATTTTTTTTAGCATAGTTGTCACAACTCCCAGGGCGCTTTTCAGCTGCAGTACTTGAACTATATCTCTTATTAAACCTTACAAATAGTCTATAGATAATCATTTTGACAAAATAATTATGAACTCTGCTTGTTCAGGTTAAGACTTAAACAGGAAAACATAACGGCAAAGGGGCACCTGTTTGTTATGTGATCCCAGAGATAAAGAAGTAAAAAAGACTCATGAAAATTTCAAAGATACCCTAACCAAGTATATTTGTTTTGTGCTTTTGCGGATACACTACCTGCAAAAGCTCAAAACAAATATCAGTGAGAATGAGAAGTTGTTTGTTGCAACATTCACACTCCTTGTACAGGTGTAATCATGAAAACTGGGTAGTGAAATCTTGCAGATGATGACACCTACAAGTGAAAACCGATTTGGATTTCAGTAATCTGCTTAGCTAGTGTGAATACGTATGATATGCAGTTCTGAAGGTCCATGGAGAGGTGATGTGAAGAGTCAGATTACGTTGCTTTGTAAAACTGATCGGTTTTAGTAACATTTTAATTTAGGGATTTAGAAAAGGATGTAATCCTAAAAATATCTTATATTTTGTCCTGTTCCTTTTTTTGTTCTTGAATTACAACTGTATGTCGGAGTTTGCCATGTGTCTGATCACGCTAACACCCAATTACCTCCCCTGACAGACACGAGTGCGTATCCTGCAGTCTTACGTGAATGACCTGAGTGAACAGAATGAGGTGCTGGTGCAGACAGTGGAGGAGCTGGAGAAAGAAGCCAACGAGAGAGTTGCCATCCTCGAGTCTAAACTGGCCAAGACTTCTGGCAGTGTCAAGGTCAGTTGCACATCTTCTCCACATATGATGACCTCTTGGCTGAAAGAGAATCAAACACACTCGTGTTAAATGAAATTTAATGTTTTTTAAAAAAATTTGCCAGTCTGAGGCACTTGGTTTGGAATCCAAGATAAATCCCAGCTGTAAAAAAATCTTGTGAATCTGTCATTTTGACTTGGTGTGTTGTGTTGCAGTATTGTGCTTGTTGATTTCAGCTTACAGAGGCAAAACATCAGGTAGATTTAGTTACATGTTTTGTGTGAAAAACCTTCTGGTCTGTCATTAACACTAAAGGTTCCATGCATAAAGATGAACATTCAATTTACATTTTCATTTGAGATATATTTGGAGAAAACGGAAATTGTTTGAGACTGGAATTTTGAATTGCAACAACTGTGTCGTATGATCTTATCGAAAAGAACATTTTGTTGTATTTTTTAATTGGCAAAAAGGTGATATTATAAATGAAAATGTTGCTTCAATGTTGTGATGTTTAACACATAACAGTTCACCAGCCTTGTGTGATATGCATGCCCTTCAGAGTTTTTAGACTTCACTGCACCAAGTTGTTCCTTAATCTTTGGGTAAACCTAATGCTGACAGAACTGAAACAACTCACTGAACTACTCTCTAGTTGTAGAGATTGTATGAGTGCTTCTAGTTAATGTTGATTTTGCACTGTCATTTGTAATAGTTCAAAATGTGGCCGGAATGCAAGGGCTCTCTAATGCATAAATCGATAAAGTAATAGGGCTCCTCAATTTAAATTGAAAAGTAGCAAACCTTGGGGGATCCCCCAAGTTTTGAACTCCGATACATAAGCAATGATAAGGTATAACATGGTGTATTGAAAAATTTCAAATGATGTACTGGGTATATTTTCATACATTTCAAAAGAATATTATTTGTGTATAGATGAAGCATTGGAATCATGTGTGTATAAATATTGCTGTTATCAAGTTCTGAGACAGTGATGTTAATTAGTGTTGACTCTGTCAAGATTAAACATGTTGCATGTGTGTTTATCTTTCTTGATTTACAATAGGAATTGGGCCATCTTATCTTGACAGTCTGGTGACCATAGTAACACTGTAGTTTATTACTGGTGCAGCTGGTCTACTGTTGGGTACATATACTGCAGTGTGTTATCCTGTTTATGGTTTTAAGACTGTAGGATTATCATGGACACTTGATCTGCTAGTTTGAATCTTAACTCAAGTATGTTCCTTTCTGTATGGTAAATCTTATAGTCCATTGTATACATGATGTGATTAATGTACTTACCTAAATTCCAAAGGGCACACTGATGCAGTGGTGTAGCCTAGTGGTAACACATTTGCTTATTGTGCTGGTTTGAGGCCCCATATAGGTTTGAAGCCCATTTTCAGTGTTCCTCGCTGTGATATTACTGTATACTGAGGACAAGCCATCTTTATGTCTCCTTGAACATGTGGGTCCTTAGTCTTGTACTTCCTGCATGGACTCATTGTATACTGAGGGCAAGCCATCTTTATGTCTCCTTGAACATGTGGGTCCTTAGTCTTGTACTTCCTGCATGGACTCCCTGTACACTGAGGACAAGCCATCTTTATGTCTCCTTGAACATGTGGGTCCTTAGTCTTGTACTTCCTGCATGGACTCCCTGTACACTGAGGACAAGCCATCTTTATGTCTCCTTGAACATGTGGGTCCTTAGTCTTGTACTTCCTGCATGGACTCTTGTGTCTTCCTTGAACATGTGGGTCCTTGGACTGCATGGACTCATTGTATACTGAGGGCAAGCCATCTTTATGTCTCCTTGAACATGTGGGTCCTTAGTCTTGTACTTCCTGCATGGACTCATTGTATACTGAGGGCAAGCCATCTTTATGTCTCCTTGAACATGTGGGTCCTTAAGTACTGTCGTAAATGCTAGAAAAATGCTTTTTGACTTATATTTAAAATTCAGAGGTATTACAGTTACATAAATAACAAATGTCACTTTAAGAAACATCTACCTAATGTAGACCGAGGGAATAAATTTTGAGACATGCCCTAAAATGTGTCTTTACTGATGAAAATACCAAAAACTTAGAAAAATAACAGGTAGTGGGACGTTATTTGATACAAACATTAACTGCCTGTGTTACGTCATCAGCATGCACGGTATCGACAGGTGAAATTGACACCTGAGCACACGCTCGGGGGAAGGGGTCATCTCAATAGATGTTTTCTTCAAAATGTTGAATATGTGTACGTATAGTATACGTATTGGTTATGTAAGGGATCATTTGTGTATGTGTGTATGTGTGTTTGTTTTGAAATAAACATACGAATTACTGTACATTGGAAAGAATCCTATCACTTGTGTTATCTTATCGATTGATTGTAGAAATGTGCAACGTTTTAATAAATGTTTTGCATGTCAACAGTATATTTCATTGCAAAAATATGGATGTAATTCGGTCAATTTATTCTAGTTGTGAACATTAGCCAAAGACTTAACGAAGTCACTGGTGTAGCTTCTTTAGAATATATATATTCTTCTTCTCATAAAGTTTGTAGACCGTCCGTCTAAGTACTCCCTTGTCAAAGTTGTCAAGGATGGTTTTACGTCCTGGTTTTGCTTTTGAGACGGTCCCTGTCTTGTCTGATTTGTGTACAATATTGTAAACTTGTTGGTAAGACATACCAACAGCTCTACAAGTTCTGTAATAAACCCTTTCTAAACTAATGAAAGGTTTACCTCTGTCTTTTTCAAGCACAAAAAAACTTATAAACCTTTGCAACAATTGACTGCAAATAGTTGGCCAAAGTGGACGCTGTGATAAAGATGTGCATGCATGACGGGAAACTTATTTATCAAGACTTAACATTTATATTGATATTTCTTCAATAAAGAAACGATAATTAAGTAAAGTAACACAAACATTCAACATTTGTTTGTTAAAGAAAAACGTTGATTCATATTTTTACACCGCCTGTATTATTAGCATGAATGTAGAGACTATTTCAGATTTCTGTTGTTGAACTCTGAAAAATTTTTAAGTTGTTGTTTTGGTACCATATTCTCTCCTGTAAACTGCCCTTTAAATGCATGGGAATGTTAAATCGATTGAAATAAAAATTAGGTACACTATAGGCGAGTTGATATATTGACAACATAGTACATTTATCACCTTTATCAAAGTATTAAGGCTAAAAAGCATTTTTCTAGCATTTCCGACAGTACTTTAAGTCTTGTACTTCCTGCATGGACTCATTGTATACTGAGGGCAAGCCATCTTTATGTCTCCTTGAACATGTGGGTCCTAAGTCTTGTACTTCCTGCATGGACTCCCTGTACACTGAGGGCTAGCCATCTTTATGTCTCCTTGAACATGTGGGTCCTAAGTCTTGTACTTCCTGCTTGGACTCCCTGTACACTGAGGGCTAGCCATCTTTATGTCTCCTTGAACATGTGGGTCCTAAGTCTTGTACTTCCTGCTTGGACTCCCTGTACACTGAGGGCTAGCCATCTTTATGTCTCCTTGAACATGTGGGTCCTTAGTCACATACTTCCTGCTTGGACTCCCTGTACACTGAGGGCTAGCCATCTTTATGTCTCCTTGAACATGTGGGTCCTTAGTCACATACTTCCTGCGTGGACTCCCTGTACACTGAGGGCAAGCCATCTTTATGTCTCCTTGAACATGTGGGTCCTTAGTCACATACTTCCTGCATGGACTCCCTGTACACTGAGGGCTAGCAATCTTTATGTCTCCTTGAACATGTGGGTCCTAAGTCTTGTACTTCCTGCATGAACTCCCTGTACACTGAGGGCTAGCCATCTTTATGTCTCCTTGAACATGTGGGTCCTAAGTCTTGTACTTCCTGCATGGACTCCCTGTAGACTTACAGTAAGCCATCAGTGTGTCTCCTTGAACTTGTGGGTCCTCATGTACTTTTTGATGTCCTGATTACAACTGAACAACACTGGCCACCTCTAATTCCATCTCATCCAGTGCTGGTGTAAGTCATGTAGACACCTATTATGTACTCAAGCTGCCATACACCATGTCTTTCCCTACTGGAAGAATAGAAGCTTCAATATGCTTTACTGATCCTAGATGTGAGAACTGCTTCAAGAGTCACAACATGAACCAGACAAGGTGTGTTCCACCATATCCAGGCAATACTGGGGACACAGGTAGTTCAGTGGTCTATAATGTCCAGGTTACTGTCCTTGGTTCGCGCATACCCTCCAGGGTGGTCACCTTTGGTCATATCCAGCTGGCCCATGGCTCTTTCGGACAAGTGTTTAGGTCAAAGAACCAGATTCGGATAGAAAAGAACCAGTGTGACCAGATTTCACTAATCTTGGGCAAAGTTGTTTGTGGCCTTGTCTAACCCTGTCTTCCTGATCTTCAAAGTAGTAAAATGCCTGTGACCAGTGCCACACTGGCGAACACCTATGCATTGACGTAACTGAAACAGTGTTGAAAGTGAAGTTAAGAAGGGTACTTCCTCCTGACACCAGTTGTGCAATACTGCAATATTCTGCTCACAACAACCTGCAATATGCCCACTCTCTCCTCCATGTTGCCCCGATATATCAATTTCATGGACATATTGAGACGTAAGTCTCACACAACCTTCGGGTCGGCCCTACTTATGAACCATCTTCCAAGTGACGGTTGAGTCCCTGTGTGTCTAACTCGTGTCTGAGCAGCGACTCTTACATGCTCCCCCTGAACCGCTCCACAGAAATTACACAGAACAGTCCCGTCTCCCCACAACTCTCCCTGGAGGGGGTGCAGCCAGGGAACTGTCAAGAACTGTTGCGGAGAGTTTACACTTGAATTTTTTTATGACTGGGGAATAAACAATGGGATTACAACAAATGGCAGCTTGGCGCGAAGACATTTTTGTAGTGCTGTGCTTTGCCATGTGCAGATTGGAAATATTTAGCAATGAGTTTGGATCAATTTGAGGTCGTGACCCAAGAGGTGAGATCTCTTTTATGTTCAGATTAGGCTAAAAGTGATTTTTTTTTAATAATATACATGACTTAACAAGTGCCTTATTGTTTGGTGCAATGCTACAGTTTAGATCACATTGTCAATGAATTTGTTGAAATTTGTTGAAAATAATACTGTAACATTTGTTTTCAGAATATACTTTAATGATATGTAGAAAAGGATAACCTGATAATTGTACCTTACTGTCAACATTCCATAATCTGTTAGTTTAAGCAAATCATTTCAGTATCATTGAG